ATCTAGTGTTAAACAGGATCGTGTTTAAAAAAATTGTACGCCTTTAACGAGTTTTAAGAATGCTAAGTCAAAGGACTGAATTAAAATTCCTTTTCATTGTACGTTTCGAAATGAGTGCTGAGACTCGCGAACGGCGCGATAAACAGAAACGTTCTCTCGCGCGATAGTCTAAAGAAAATAGTGGACGAGATTAAAATATTAAATTTTTCTTTGGCTACCGCCTCGCAGTCGAATACTGTCTCGTTAATAAAACAGGCAGTACCGGAAGAAGAGCCGGGAGAGCGGCAAACGAGATTACGCGAGATCTCTTTGTCCTGCTCCACCCACTGGAATAGTAATATCGCAGCGAGTATGAAATTTGCAACGCGCGACCATCAGATTTCTTACTCCGCCGCTTACGTCGTTGCTCATTTTTCTCTCGTATTAATCTTGCCGTAACTCCGAACACTTCCGGTACCGGCCATGAGAACAGATGTGGGCTGTAGGGAAATAAAGACAAGATTATAAACCGTCGCGGAAGCATGTAACGGTCCTCCGGTTCTTTCCGGGGGATTATTTTTCCTACCCTTCTGCAATTTTAATTACAAATTTACACAAATGTCCTCTTTCCGAATCGTTTTAGGTTAGGTCGGGGAGATAACCGGGGTTCTCGCTGTGCCGTTGCACGGTCCGCCAGCCGGCAGGCTTCATCCAGCAATTTCCAATTCGAATCGATAGCGCGCCGTTATTAAACGGCATTAATGTAGACGCAACTTTCCCTTTGAACGTCATCGAGTCCTCCCGCACGGCCCCGGCGCGGCGGAGCTCTACTTTCGACTACGCGTTTCGTCGTGTTCATCTTCAAGATACGTGAAAATCCTACGACTTGTAAACGGTCTTGTATTAAAACTTGTAATTCGTGTAATTGTGTCGTGATTAAATGTATGTAAAAAAAAAGCAAACTCGAATGGTGATCCCGCGGCGCATCGAGGAATCGAGCATACTCGATTAATTAACTGCTCCGTTTAGCTGTTCCGAAATCCAGGATCGGAATTCGCTGAGCGCAACGAAACGTCGCTTGTACTGGCGTGCGGCACGAATTCGCTGGCGGCACGCGCGGTACGCCGTGCTTATACTTCACTCTTCCTGCGATACAATTTAGGTTCATTTGGGATGATTGTCGTAACTGGCGCGGCATGCCGAATTTCCTGTCTGCTCTCGCTCTCCCTTTGATCTGCATTTTCGAGCAGTTAAGACCTGGCCGTGTCGTAAGTCGTCATACTGCAACCGTAAACGTATATTCCGCTGTTTCAGCTCGCCGCGTAAACGCTCCTCCAGAAACGTGCCACCACTGTGGTTGCCTGTAAATGGCCCGCGCTTCTTCCGCCCGTTTATTTCATGGCGTGACGCTTTATCGAGCTAACGCGATCAGATATCGAGTGCCGATGAGTCTCTGGCGTGCATCGCACCCGTCAATCTCGGTGCACCTCGATGCCACCAGCAGTGATTAAATATTATGATAACGATTTAACAAGAACAGAACGTATGTTAATAATATATTTTTAAACAATT